TTCTTATATTTTAATTGCTCATTTCCTTCAGCAAGGAACTTGCTCTGCTGTATGTTGTTGCAGCCAGCCGGAAAATAGATAGCAAGTCGTTAACCCTCGAATGATACGACAGCATAATGCTTCGGTATGGTTGAGCACAAGGGTGCGAAGCATTCCGCCATGCTGTTCGATGCTTTCGACGGGCAGAAAACTGAGGCAATTGATCTGAAGAAAACATTAAAGTTGTATTGACTAGCCACAAATGCAGGACATCAGCAACTAAAAGTGAGTATTGAATGTTTCTATAGAATTGAAGGTTGTTTAACGTGATGAAAAAATTTGGCTTAATGTTCAGCTTTTCGCAGAGAGAATTTCCCGGTCGATATCTGAGGAAGGATAAGGGACGATGAACTCTTCTTGAAATTTGACAGCTCATCCGATCTAAGTTGAATTCGCCACCGAACTGCGTTTGCCTTCAATTACTGCATGGTCTTATGGTTTAAAATTCTCTTGTAATTCGGATTAAGGGACTCATTGGGATTACGGGCAGTTGTCTGCCATCTGTTAAAGATTACCTAGATTTCCTAATTTAAGAGGCCTGAAATTTGTGCAAGATAGAATTATTGCGTTTATCAGTTCAACGACTAACACAGGAACAACATGCTAAATGTAAAATACTGAGTACATCAACGCCAGAAAGTCAAACCTGCGTTGACGCGATTAAGAGAAATGTTTCGGTAAACGACGCCGCCAAGGTTTTTAGAAATTGCGTTGTTCAGGTCTCATTTTGTCTTCCCGCGCTTTATATTCATGGACTTCGGATCAAAGAAATATTTAGACGGCACCCACCATCTGTATTGATCTGATTCTACAGCCTGTGATCCTCTCTAAAATAAGTTATGCTAAGACATGAATATCTGACGATGCTCGACTACCCAGTAGAGAGCGATATTAGTCCTCAACAAAAAGAGAAATTCTCACCTTCGGTCTTCCCTACATCTTCTTAAAGGGGTTTATTTATGGCGTCTCTAAGTTCAAAAATTTAACGGTGGAGCGCTAGCTCTATTTCTATACCATTAGTCACGGATGACCCATTTTGAACGCAGAGTCGACACCAGTTTCCTTCCAACAGCGTTACTCATTTATCAACTTGAATGAAGAAAGATGAGTGACCTTGATCAGGGTTCGAACTGCACCAACTGTGCGACGTCGGTCTGAACACCGAACTCAACAACACCGCATCAGAATTGAAGTGATTCACCCAAATGGCAGAAACAACTATATACTATGAAGTAACAGTTGTTCGGCAATGCCAGCAAGTGGCCAGGCATATTTACATTGCAAGTCAAAACTCACCGTATGTAACAGAATTTATTTCGGTCATACTTAGTTTTTTTGGGACAATTGCATGCTTCTTAACAAGTCAGGTCTTCAGACAAAGAGCGACAATCTTGCAATAGGCAATACACGTTTTGATAAAGGCCATTTCAAAGTAAGAAGCCACTGGGGTTGGGTAGATGGCTTAAATTGATCAAAAGAATTCCCACCTTAACATCGGGTGACAGAATTCACTGCTCAGCGACGGTAGTTTTCGCGATATCATATTCGAACGATTAATGTCGTGAAACGCACATGACATCACCAAGTGGTAGACCTAAATTACCTTAGATTTTAGATTCGAACATGCATATAAGATCCAGTTCATAACTGTCAAGTTTTGTTGCGCAGTGCGTGTACATTAATTTGCACTGGACAACGAGCTTGCACGACTGGCAGTAATGCGTCTCATCCTCGCATGTAGACAGATTTACATTTTGCTGACAGGGAGAACCATCACCAGAACAGATCCTTCTCAGCGGAGTTATAGAATAGTAAATGTCTAACTCATAATTGCAGGTTTTACAACTTTTCTGTCTTTTCAATAGTACGAATGCTGCTCGTTCAAAACCATGTTTAATCGTAAACATACGAAATTGTCACTGCTAGTAATGAATAGGACAAATCAATCGCGGTAATTGCGTGACCCGGTCATGTGAAAT